TCTTGTCCAGCAGGCTCCTTATCTAGGAGTATCTAGAAAAGGAGTTCCTTTATTTGCTGGAAGTCTGTTCAATTGTACTGTCAGGAAACTGATTTGGGCCCCCAGAATTTAAACAAGTACCAGTTACCCCCTTCCTATCAACAGAAATCCAACTCTATGTAAATATTCACTATAAATATCACATAGGAAATTGGAATTAAATTAGTGACTAAAGGTAAAAACCAAGAAAATAATCTGCTCAGATGTTACCCTGAAATTGTCTCTAACTTCATCCTTTAAGTCCAAACCAGAATCTCCAACACTGGCCTTTTATTAGGAAGGCTCACTATGCTATGAGCAGTGCCCCTCAACACCTGCCATCTAAAGCTGTCTTGCATAAAATTTGTGCATCCTAGATTCTAGCCCTACACAACCCCATTAAGTTGTAAACGGATTTTATTTGCTGAACAAATGTTAATGCCATTCTACGTTAATGAATAATGCTACGAAAAGCACCTAAGTATTACAGCACTGGAACCTTTAAGAATGAAATATGGTATAACTTACAAAACTGTCTGTTACAAACATATGTCAGCCATGAGGGCTCCTAGTTCTTATTGCCCATCTTCATAGAACTCGGTTATAATTTCTCCCTTGGTTAACTGAATTTTGCAATAATACACCGATTTATTAGGTCCCAGGATTAGAATTCTCTGAGTAAGAGTAAAAAATAATTACACTTTAGAATATAATGTAATATTCAAATGACTTGAAAACAGTCACCTCAGCAAAAATAAGAGAGGGGAGAGGAAAAAGAAGTTTAAAGATGAGGTTGATAACATTGGCCATAAAACCTCTGTGAGTTCAAGTGCACAAATGCATGATCTGGCACTTCCGAATCATAAACACGTGGAAATGGGAAACCTCCCTTTCACGGCAAAATGCCTGAGTGGTTTCATTATTGAGCCAGGGGGATTTCTTCATTTAATAAGAAAGCTCAGTAGAGAAGATAGAGAGGGTGCTGGTGCCAGACAGTGCTCGTTAAAATCCCAGCTCTACCACTTTCTAGTTGTGTGACCTTGGGCAAGCAGTGTTTAGATTTCTCTGTCTGTAAAATGGGGATGTTAACAGTCCCTGCCTCATGGGGCATCTGTGATGGCTAAAGGAGCTAATACATGCAAGAAACTGAGAACAGTACCTTATCCGTAATAAGCGTCCCATAAATTCCATAAAATATTCCATCATTTGGTACTTGTTCTTATCTACAGGGTTGTTTGCAAATGGAGAGGCCCTGGATGGAAACCGTGGCCTCTCCTCACAAAAGGTCTCTCGACTCCCTGACTTCATATTCTCAGTCTTCTCTTGTCTGGATGCTGCTCCTTCTTCTGCACAGAAACAGCACTCAATAAAGTCACTGATGAGCTTTTTGTTGTCCAGTCCATGGAGTGGTTTTCAATCCTCGTCTCTCTTGTACTCTCAGAAGTCCTGTGCACTGTTGAGCTTGAAACTCTCTTTCCCTGGGTTCTGGGACCTTCCATGGCCACCATTATCCCTCAACTTCCCAAATCACACCCTCTCCCTTTCATTGCTAGTGGATCCTACTCTCCTTCGCCCTTAAATGTTGGAATTTTGGCTCTCATTGCTTCTCTTGTCTCTCTCCAGGCAAGTTTACCCATTTCTATGGTTTTATTACCAACATGCTAATTAGTCCAAAACATTGACCTGCTGCTTAGACCACTGTTCTGAGCCCCAGACCAATGTATACTCATCTATAGTCTCCATGTTTCCTGGACTGTCTCAAAGGTACTTCAAACTCAACATGTCAAAAAATTAATGTATGATTTCATCCCTCCCCCCACTAGCATTTCCCTCGATGTTCCCATGCTTGTGAGTGCCCCACCGAGCATCCCTCATCTGGGCAGCTGCAATAGCCTCTCACTCCTCTCTTCTTCCCTCCTCCCCTCAATCCATTTTGCATAGCAGTCAGAGTAGAGTGTCTAAATGGCCAATCTGATCACATCACTCTGGCTCATATTCCTTCACTGCCCCCCTAAGCTTATCTTGGCCGGGGCTGAGAAGGCACAGCCTTACCTGGCTTGTCCTGCCTGGCTTTTGCCACTACTCTCTAGCTACTCTGGCCTCACTGTCCTTTCTGGGTCCCTAACTAGCCAAATCCTTCCTGTTCCTCTGCCTGCAGCCTCAATATTCTTCTTCTTAGGTCAGTTTCCTATTCATCCTCCAACTATTAGTCCAAATATTGCTTCCTCAGGGAAGCTGTTCTTGACCTAAAATGAGGTCATGTGCCCTATGGTGGGCTCTCATGGAACCCTGAGTACTTATCACAATTAACATTAGACATTTATTTACAAGATTAAAAATGAAACTTAGTATCTATATTCTCCAGCACATGGTTGGTTTCAAGAGGGTCATGTCTGCTTGGCCCACTATTATTTTCCCAGTACCTCCCACATGGAAAGGGCATGCTAACACTTGTTAAGTGAATATCTCAGTTTTCATTATTTTAAGGCACTTTCATGACCTGCTCATTCTCCACCATAAGAGAGAGCCATCACTTTTGTGTGATGGCTCCATGTAACGAGTACCTTGGTGACCTTGACCACATCAGGTTTATCTGAGCTGATCACAAGGGGAGAGAAAGTGATAAGGAAAACTAGGCCCCACAAAGACTATCCATGGGAAGGAACCCAGTGCTAAAAAGGCCAGTAAGTCATGTCTATGATTTAGAGCAAATGGAATCTGTTTGTGAGTTATCACAATGATATTCTTCATTCTCCCTTAGAGGATTCCTTCACTCAATCACTCATTCATTTATTCATTCTACAAAGTCGTGATTCTCAGTTCCAGACATCAGGGCCACGGTATGGGAGGAAGCCCAATATGTGGCAGGTACACAATAAATACCACAGGCTGTAATGGAGAAGGAGCCCCATGCTTGTGTTTGGAGGAGAGGACGTGCTTAGGACAAGAGAGGAAGACAACCCTGGAGAATGGTGTGTGCGAGGCAGGGGACAACCAGGAAAACATTCTGGGCAAAACTGGGAACACTGACATGATCCTCTAGGACCTCCCTCAGTACCAACTACTACTACTAACACGTCAGGCTGACAGGTGAGGGCAGAGAAAAGGCCCACCTGGACACCACCATCACCTCTGTTTCCTCCATTTCCCATTCTGGACCACTCCTCATGGGCTCTGGGAAGACCAGAATTTGGAGAGGGCTCAGCTGTCTTCTGATGAAATCATCATCTCTGTTGCCCTGAACCTTGCATGTGTTTCCAAATCAATTACTGCTTGGTCCAGCCTTTCCCTTTTGTTCCGTGCCTGATTCAAAGTGGGCCATGGTAGCAGCAGCACAGTGGAGTATTAGGGTCAGTATTGGGAAGTAGAAGTGGGACCATGGGGCATAAGGCTTTCATCAGCTCTCCTGAGAAAAAAAGAATGCTTTAAATTCTTGACTGCAGCATTCAGTTGTATTTTAGGTGAATTTTATATTACCTCCACTATATCCTTTTGCTGTGTGAATTGCTCAAGCCCTTATTCAAACTTCAGGCTCTGCCTGGAGTACGGAAAAGAAAGGTCAAATGACAGGTTTTTACCATATCCTCAGAAAAGAGAAGAAAGGATAAGAACGGGTAGGATTTTATAAATTGGGAAACCAAAGAGGGATTGCTATGTTCTGGTATTACCATTTTGCTGACATAAACACCATAACCAATCAAAGGAAGAAGGCTTAAACACTGAATATCTGGACTCCAAACATGAAAGTATGTCAAAAGAGAAACGGGAAAAGTATATTAGCACTTTACACTATTTGTTGTTTACTCTGAAACAAAGCCTCAGGTTAGAGATAACACAGATATAAAATACAATATGTGTTTTATTTAACATATATTAAATGCCAAAAATGAAGCTACCCATTTTGACAACTGTTTTCCATATAAATCTGTGCCAGAAAAACAAAAATCATTATGAACTCAGCAGATCAAATTTCAATTTCTTATTTTGGTCAACTTGAGAGTTAAAGATTTATTTATGAAATAATGCTTTCCAGGAAGCCAAAAAAAAAAAACCAACAAAAAAAAAAACCCTGCCTCTGAAAACAATTTGATGATTAATGCAAATTTTAAAACCAAATAATTATATTACTGTCATTCACTGGCAATTCAAGAAAGAGTGTGTAGGATGTCCAAAAGTTAGAAACATATTAAAATAAAGGTTTTTTCTTTATAGGGAATTGCCATCCCATCTGGTCTAATTTGTCTTGGTGTTTTGCCCAGCATAATATCAGCTCTCTGAGAATGTAAATTATTAGGTTACTCCCCTGAAAAAATATGAGTGAAGAAAAAATATGGGTTGAAGATGACATCCTGATTATAAGTTTGAATACTCAGGAAAACACTAATATGGCAGAAGAGCCCAACCTCAGTAAATCTGGGTGTGAAACTGGTTCACAGAGGGTAGCTACTAGAGATGATGAGGAGGAAAAAGACAGTCTTACAGGGAGTAACAGGCAACACAATAAGATGCAAAACAATATGGAAATAAATTTTCAGACACTGAGTATTACCTCTTTGTCAGAGTGCTTCTGATTCCAATTAAGTTTAGGAGAAAAATAACAAGGCAACCCTTGCCTGACTGGAAAGTATAGACTATTAAAGGATGCTTCTAAATAGGAGGGTGATAAATGGAGGCATCTAAATGTGTGCACAACCGTATTTTTCATCTCAACTCTGTTCTTCTGTCTCCCAGCTGATCACTTTAATAGTGTCACCTCAGCCCATACAAAGGCATCAGGTTGATGGGTAACTCCTAGATTTTGAAAAGAAGCCATGTTTTTGTAAAGTGGCATTTAGGCAACTTCCATGATTGCCCTCAGAAAAGGTAAGCATCAAACAGGAAACAGACAATAGGCGCCTTTGACAATATAGCCACGTGCCTCCTTCTATTTGGAATCTACGTCCAATCAGTTGGTAAGATTTGTAAAAACAAAATGTCCTTACCCGAATTATTTCTTCAACACAGCTGTTTGTGTCTCCAGATCTACTCTCCTGAAAGCAAAGGAGAAAAGAATTAAGTCTGATAGCATAGATTTATGGTTACAAAGAAAAGGGGACACATAAGCTTCTAAACCTGAGTTTGGACTGGGGATGCCTGACGTAGGACTTAGTGATGAGCTCCTTTCCTTAATGGGGTAGCCTGAGTCACAGCTATGACTGCTCCCCTCCCCCCTGCAGCACAGCAGACGGCCAGCCAGGAGCACCGCACACACCTGCGGTTCAGCTCTGGGCCCTCCAATCGCGCCCCTGCTAAGCAGCGCAGGCGCCTAGGAGGACAGCGGCCAACTGGCAGGTGTGAGCTCTCTGTTCCCCCTGGGCTCCATCACCATGTGGAAATGTGGCCTCCGCTGCCAAAGTGGAACCAGTTCACCCACCAAACATGTGCAATGGCTTGGCCGAGTACAATGGTTGCGAAGGCTTAAGTAGAAGCCTGTGCCCACTTTTTAAGTAAAAGTCTGGTAGTTCCACCATCCTCAAAGCCCAGATTTACTGGTTTGATGAGCCGAAAACTGAAAGACCAAAAGGAGAAACATCCTCTCAACAGCCACACAGCATGCTGGGTGTCACACTCCAGAGCCACTTGTTCTGTGACCCACACTGCCCTGTGCTGTGGAGATGTTAAGGGCTCTGAGGAATGGTGGCTTCGGGTCACAGTCAACACTGGGGAGCACTTTCAGTTCCAGAGATTCTGTGTGGTTACCGCTGGTTCCACAGCTCAGAGCGCAGGAAGTGGTATGGTGGGGACATGAAAGCAGCGTCTGCTGGTAGACGTGCCCGCTGTGGTCTGAGGGAGATACGTCCCCTGGCCTTTTACTTCAGTGACGTTGGCCACAACTCAGCATGACATTCGAGAATGAGGCTGTATTCACAATCTTCTCCAAGCCCATTCTCCCATCCTCTTCACAGTTCTCTCTCCACCAGGGAAGCAAATCTGCCCCTTTCCGTGTTTCCTGGTTAATTCCAAGTCACCCCACAGACCACAGGTCAATCATGGCTTCCTCAGAGCAGCCGTCCCTAAGCCTGGAGTTCTCATCCTCAGCAGCATTTACTTCTTCTTCAGAGTACTCACTACATTCAGTACTTAACTCTTTAATGCTATCTCCTCCCTCTAGAACATATGCTCCACAAATTTAGGGGCTCTGTGTCTTTCAGCGGTGCCTCACACAGTCCCGAGTGTGTGCAGTAAATGTTTGCTAGTGGACACTGTATGAAGAAATGAGAGAACCTCCTTCCTATGGTCTCCTGTGAGGACTACCACAATCAGCTTCAGGACTTTGGAATATTGCCAAGGCTCTACCAAAGAAGACACCTTTGCACCCTCCCCACCCTCTTTGCCTGGTGGAAGAGCATTCTGTTTGCAATAGTCTACTCGTCACACTGGGTAAGGGGCCAGGGTGTATGAAGGTATGTGAAGTCTGAAAAGACCCCACACATGATTGAGAAAATTTGTCCAAGTCCCCTGAGGCCCAGAAAGTTTACATGACTCACCCTGCGCCACATAAGAGCAGTGCCTGGACCAGAACACAGGACTCCTGACCCTCAGTCACGCACATTTTCACTTCCAGAAGCTTCCCCCAACCCCAAAGCTGTGCTTTACATATATCTAATCCCTTAGCAAACCTGAGCTCATTTGTCAAAGGTACAAGGTTTATATGGTTTAGGAACTTCTCATGTGTGTGGTAAAATACACGTAATATGAAATTTGCCATTTTAACCATTTTAAAGCGCATAATTTACTGGCACTGAATATAGTCACAGTGCCACCAGTATCTGGTTCTGGAAGTTTTTCATCACCCTGAATGAAGTTCCCATGCCCCTTGAACAGGAACTTCCCATTCTTCTCTCTTCTGAGCCCCTAGTAACCACTAATCTACTTTCCATCTCTATGGATCTTTCTATTCTGCACATTCCATGTAAATGGAATCATACAATATGTGGCCTTTTATGTCTGGCTAGCTGCTTTCACTTAGGATAATGTTTTCAAGGTTCCTCCATGTTATAGCATGTATCATATTTCATTCCTTTTTATGACCAAATAATATTCCACTGTGTGGATATACCACATTTTTTTTTATCCATTCATTAGTTGATGGACATTTTGATACTTCCACTTTGGCTGTCATGATAGTACTTCTATAAGCATCCATGTACAAGTTTTTGTTTGAACGCCTGCTTTCAGTTCTTTGGGGTATATAATTAGGAGTTGAATTAGTGGGTCATATGGCAATTTCTATGCTTAGCTTTTTTTTTTTTTTTAAAGATTTTATTTATTTATTTGAGACAGAGAGAACGAGAGACAGAGAGCATGAGAGGGAGGAGGGTCAGAGGGAGAAGCA